CCACCTCACTTTTTTCCAGCACCAACATTGGCCTTTGCAGTCCCCCTAACTTTCTTCATTCTGTTCTTGCGTTCCTTTCGCTGTTTTCTTGAGGTCTTTTTCTTCTCATACAGGCCATGTCTTGCAAGTCTATGTTTGGGTTCATTTTTCTTGGCGTAATCCAAGGAATCATAAATCATGCCAAAGCCAGTGGTCTTGCCACCACCGAAATGGGTTCTGAATCCAAACACAAAGATGACATCTGGTGTGGTCTTGTACATTTTGGCTAGTTTTTCCCGAATTTCTGTCTTAGGTACTGTTGCCTTCCCAGGGTGAAGAACATCGATGACCATTTGTTTCCTTTGAAGTAGTCTATTGGTCATGAACTTCCTGGTCCGGATAGTTACTGTGTCGTTCATGATGGCGGCAGGCGCTCAAGCAGCCAGGGAGGAAAAGAGCCCAAGCCAATTCTTAACCAACGTGCCACTTGGCTGGCCCAAAACAGTTTTTGTTTGTTTGTTTGTTTTTAATGAAAGATCAGTGGGCGGGGGACTTATTGACTCTGTATTTATTAAGCTGTAGCATGTATGCCTGGTTCACATTCTCCCACCCTTTTGTTGGCAGGGAATGGGTCATTCTCATAACTAAAAAAAAAATTCTGTTATCACTGTTCTAAGGATCTATTAAGATTACAAATATATAATGTCCTGTGATGCAGCAATTGTACTTACAGAAATTTATCCTTACAGATAGACTTTCCCACACATGAAAAGATGTGGTCCTAGGTTTTTCACAGTAAAATATCAGAAACAGCTTAAGTGCTAGGGTAGTGGTTAAATAATTATGATGCTTCCATGCAGTGGAATATTTAGCTTCTATCATAAAGAATGAGGCAGTTCTACATTTACTAATGGAACAAACCCCAAGATATGTGCTTCAGTGAGAAAAAGCAAAAAAGCAAGTGCAGGACACTGTGTATTACTGTGTATAATATAGTGTGGTTGTTTAAAGGGGAGGGGCTAAGGATGTATTAATACATATTTGCTTGTTATATATAAACTAGTTCGGGAAGATTAAAAATCTTCCCTTGCCTTGTGGGCAGGGGACTGGGTTACTGGAGAACAGGTGAGATAGAAGGACCAGTCACCGAAGGGCCTTTTGAGTCAAGAACCATGTGAGTTACCTGTTGTTTTTAACGTCCCTGCACTGAATTTTTCAGGAGTTTGAGGTTCTTGTATGTACCTCTTTGCTGTGATCTGCTTGCTCCCTGCTCCTTCCCAAATGACTCATTCAATCACCCTCTCTTTTGTTCCCTGAATTTTTTGGCACCAAATGAAGGTCTCTTTTTTGTTTTCACTTAAAAATTTTTAACACCTATTTCCTTATTTGCATTCAGATTGTATTAAATTTATTGCCTGGGTAGGTGGCTTCGATGTAATGCATTACATCACATTCTTGTTTATTTGAATACATTTTACATAAGCCATCATTTATGATTTTAGAATGGAAAAGTATTATCAACACAAGATAGGAAATTCAAACTGTATAAACGAGCATATAGCAGAAAGGTTTTTTTTCTCCATGTAGACCTTGAGGCCCCTAGGCCCATAGTTCCCATGCTGAGCCTGCCACTGTTACCACTTTTACATGTGTACTTCTAATAATATTGTATGCATATCAAACATAAACATGCATATGTCCCCCTTCTTACATACTGTATAAACTATACTATACACACTGTTTCTCATCTATTTTTTTCACTCAACATATATTGGTATAGGACCACATTTAGATCGGCACATTCTTTTTAGTAACTGCATAGGATTTCACTGCATATATTAAATACATTTAATTGATTTAATCACCCTCCTCTTGATGGGAATTGGGGTTGTCCACAGTCTATTGCTACCACAAACGATGCCACAACAAATATCCCTGTATCTGTAGGATAAATTCTTAGGAGCACAACTGCTAGGTCAACGTGCATTTAAAATTTTGCTCTATGCAGAGGTTATAGTAATTCAACAGGACATAAGCTTACCCAGGCTTTTAAAAGGTTTCCACCTGCCTCAGCCTGTAGTATAAGATAAAATATTGGTCTAAGTGAGAGCAAGCTAGTTAATACTGTTGGTGGACGAGAGTTATTTTTCCCACTGAAGCTGGTTAAGATCCCATGAGTAACATACAGTGTAGTAAAGTTATTAAATGTAGCCATCTGAAGGTTATAGCAAGATTGAGGTGAGTTGGCTGTTTCAGCTGCCGTTGAGTAGCCCCCAGTGACAACTGTACTGTCCTTACGTAGTTTTGCGTTTTTTCTAGGACCTTAGCATCCTGAGACATTTTGGATTCACAGTCCTCAAGATCGATCCCATCCGAGTTCATCATGTCCAAGTTAAAAAGCTCAGAGTCAGTCAGGGTGGTAGTTCGCTGTCGACCCATGAATGGCAAGGAAAAAGCTGCTTCGTATGACAAGGTGGTAGATGTGGATGTGAAGCTGGGCCAGGTGTCGGTGAAGAACCCCAGAGGAGTTGCCCATGAAATGCCCAAGACCTTCACCTTTGATGCAGTCTACGACTGGAACGCCAAACAGTTTGAACTCTATGATGAGACTTTCCGACCACTGGTGGACTCCGTCCTGCAGGGTTTCAATGGGACGATTTTTGCCTATGGACAAACTGGGACTGGGAAAACCTACACAATGGAAGGAGTCCGTGGGGACCCTGAAAAAAGAGGGGTCATCCCTAACTCGTTTGATCACATCTTCACCCATATCTCTCGATCCCAGAATCAACAGTACTTGGTCAGAGCTTCTTACTTAGAGATCTATCAGGAGGAGATCCGAGACCTGCTCTCAAAGGATCAGACCAAAAGGCTTGAGCTCAAAGAGAGGCCTGACACTGGAGTGTATGTGAAAGACCTGTCTTCTTTTGTCACCAAGAGCGTGAAGGAAATAGAGCACGTGATGAATGTGGGGAACCAGAACCGCTCTGTTGGTGCCACCAACATGAACGAGCACAGTTCGCGTTCTCACGCCATTTTTGTTATAACTATCGAGTGCAGTGAGGTGGGCCTCGATGGAGAAAACCATATCCGTGTAGGGAAACTGAACCTCGTAGACCTTGCTGGCAGCGAACGGCAAGCCAAGACTGGTGCACAAGGGGAAAGATTGAAGGAAGCAACCAAGATCAACCTGTCCCTTTCCGCCTTAGGTAATGTCATCTCTGCCCTGGTGGATGGCAAAAGCACTCACATTCCATACCGGGACTCAAAGCTTACCAGGCTCCTCCAAGATTCTCTTGGGGGCAATGCCAAAACTGTGATGGTGGCCAACGTGGGGCCTGCCTCTTACAACATAGAAGAGACTCTGACCACGCTGAGATATGCCAACCGTGCCAAAAACATTAAGAACAAGCCAAGGGTCAACGAGGACCCTAAGGATGCCCTCCTTCGAGAATTCCAGGAAGAGATTGCTCGGCTCAAGGCCCAGCTGGAAAAACGGTCCATTGGCCGGAGGAAGAGGCGAGAGAAGCGGAGGGATGGTGGTGGTAGTGGTGTGGGTGGGGAAGAGGAGGAGGAGGAAGGAGAAGAGGGTGAGGAGGAAGGGGATGATAAGGACGATTACTGGCGGGAACAGCAAGAAAAGCTGGAGATTGAGAAGCGGGCCATTGTAGAGGACCACAGCTTGGTTGCGGAGGAGAAGATGAGGCTGCTGAAAGAGAAGGAGAAAAAGATGGAGGACCTGCGACGGGAGAAGGATGCTGCCGAGATGCTGGGCGCCAAAATCAAGGTATTGTAGCCTTCCCTGGGGCCTTGCTTTTCTCTTTCAAGTCTTTTTGTTTTATCAAAAAAGTGATAAGGAATGATGTCTCTTTTGGTTTTGCATTCCCAATAGCTCCANGACAAAAGAGATGAGGTTGGGAGAAAGCTCAATTTTTCACGTGTAGTAGCCATTAAAACGGTAGTTGTTAACATCACAGTGACAAGTTCTAGCAGAAAAAGTATTCAGGATGAAGGTGATGAGCTGCTGACCTGTGGTTCCATCTTTCCTGGCAGTGCTGTGAGCTCCTTTAAAGATTTATCGCTGTAATTAGACTGGCTAAAAGAAGAATAAGGAAGGTAATAAAGTAAAGAAAGAGTATCAGGGCATCCTTCCAAGAAAACCCTCTCCTTTGAGGAGGACCCAGAGCAAGATTTTAAGCCCGGGTGGCAGGAAATTAAATTAGACTGTCTTCCTGAAATAATACATCAATAAAACATGACTAGTTCAGTTGAGCCCCGTGAGTTCAGAAAAGAAATGGTGTTCAGTGTTCTGAGTTGAGATTTAATTAAGGGGACTCAGGCCTTGGGAATTCTTTTTAAAAGAATTTTGAGATTATTGTAGTTCATGATCATTTCTTTGTTTTGGAGAGCTCAAAAAATATACAGGACTACAACAGAAGCAGCTGAATATCAAAGTCAGCCTACTGCAGGCTTTTTTTTTTTTTTAATGGGCTTGGGCCACATTGTTTCGATACATAGAATCTGGACAGCTCTACCTCTTCAGGGGTATATAATCCAGAAGAATCGGTCATCTCCATGGACCCGTTCCCCACCCCCCCCTTAACGTTTCTCTTACTCCTTCAAGTCGAGCGTTTTGTCTAACCGTCCTATGCACTGCAACAGAGGCCTCCCCAAAGGAGGCTCAGGAGATGGGGTTTGAACTTGGCACCTAGACTGTTGCAGGCCTCTGTAGAAGTGGAGGGAGAGACCAGCAAGGATGAGCCACCGCTATAGTTTGGGGCCATTTCCCTAGAAAAGAAAAGGAGACACAGTAAATGCGCTGGCAAGTCTAACATCTGGTGTTTTCTTCTCATCAGGCAAAATTCTAATAACATCTAGGGTAATGAACGAAGGGCTGCCTTTTACATAGTTTTCTTTAAATGGCTTGAGATTTACTTCTAATTGAACATTGATTAGGTATTTGGATCTCAATTTAATCTGATTTCTTTTTTAGGATGATGATTACCAACGGAACAAGAGAAAATGTTAGTCTAGTGATGATTAATGCCTAGAACTAGGGCTCACTGGTAATCTCTGGGATGACTCTTTGACAAGGGTCATTTGGAAGAATCTGTGTTAATTAATTTTAACCCAGCTTTATATTAGTTAACAAAGCACTTCCACCTTTGTAAGTGCCTATTAGCCTCACAATCATCAAAAGGAAGAAGAATTGGGCCGGCCAAGTGGCGCATCAGTTAAGAGCTGGCTAGGGACACCAGCTCTGAGCAGCAGGGCCCCAGTTCGGATCCCACATGGGGGCCAGTGACACTGCCCTCTACAGCTAAAATGGTGAACAATAGCTCGACCTGGAGCTGGGCTGCCGTGAGTCGCCGGCGACGG